CAAACCAGACGTTATTAAAGTAGTTTGTAGTAGTACTTAGTAGTTTTGGTTTTGTTATTAATGTTGAGTTCTAGAATTTAGATCGTAGGTCACAGATGATGGTGGATATTAACAGGTCTTCGCGCCACACTCCCCAATTAATCAAAAATAACAATTAGTAATGTTGAAAAACAATTCATAATAGTATCTTTACTTTGTTGTTCTAATATTTTTTCAGACTCTCATTGAAATGTCAATTAAGAAAATTTAAACACTTTAATTTTTAACTACCGATTCATTACTTAAATATTGTGAAAATGAAACTTTAGAATATCACTATTTTATAGCAGCGAAAGAGTTACAAAATGTAAACTCAAGAATTTTCAAGAAAAATACAGCAATAAATTAAAAATAAACGAATCTAAACCGAGAAATTGCGGAACACAAAAATATTTATGAATAACTTTAACATGATTTGAAATTCTCTTGATGACTTATAAAATACTAACTTAAACTTACTTTTAATCTTAAAAAAGTCATAGACTCTATCAAAATAATGTATGTTTTAAAAAAGTTTTCAATCTGAAATTCCTGCACGGATATCGTGAAAATTAAACATCATTTAGGCAAAAATTAAACATTTATGTATCAAGTTGACCTTTAAATTGGTGGGATTGTCTTTTAATTGATTCAACATTGATTTCTTAGTTATACAAAAAAAGTTATACTTTATATTAAACAAAGTTTTCTTTCTGTCATTTACTTATTATGTATCATTCATTTATGTTTAATTTTTGGGAATATTAACAAATGCAATTAAAAAAATTTGTTCCATATTCCAATCTTTTTCAACCCAAAATTATTTAAAAATTTTCTCACTGTTATGAAACTCTAGATTTACGAAGTACCTATAAATTCTTATTCTGATATATTTGTTCATTTCATAGTGAACTAAAATGAAATCAAAGTTGTAACTATAAAAAAAGTTTCAAAATGCATGGGTAAAAACTAACAAATATTTGATTTTACCCATATATTAACATAGCTCACTTTTTTACCAAATTAGACATTGATAATGATAATTTTTTTATGCTAAAACAATTATAAAACACAAAACAATTTAAAAATAATCACAAATATACCATCACAAGCAAATAAACAAAAGAAAAAAGTTAATATGTTATGTAAAATTGTTTTAATTATTTAATTAAAGATTAAAACTTCATTATATAAAAAACAATTTCAACACTAAATGTGAAGAATTAAATTTTGTCAAATATGAGTTTTTGTTTTCTTTTATAAAAACTTACTAATGTTTTTTCCTAAAATTCAAAATTAGGAAATAACTGTAAATTCAAGATCAGGATTATTTAACTTCAATTAAATTCAGAAGTGATTTTAATACATTCTAGTAAAAATCTAAAAACGACCAAATACTCATGTGGACATTTGTAATGCTATTAAAAATTGCATTCTTCATTACCAATTCAACATTAGATTTTTTGGGTAATTTGTTTTGTAGATTTTATATAAAAAATGTGTTATGAAACATAATAGAGTCTATTTTGTTTAAAAAGATTAAATAAATGTATAGTTCAAAATATTATGCAATTTATCTAATTTACTAAACACGGGAATCGATTAACGTGAATTTTCTGAATAAATTTAAATTTTTTCTAATTTAATTTATTTTCTAATTTAACAATAGTTTTTTGTGCTTTCTATGATTAATGTATTAATATGAATATGTAATAGAATTCGAGCACAAAAGCAGAATTGATCTAAGATAAAAAGGTGAAAATTATGTCTAATTTTCACATTTTTATTAAATTATTCACACTTTTATTATATTTAAATTATACCTAATTATATATTTTATGAGAAAGAAAGAATGAAAGATATCTTACAAATTTCAAAACCGTGAAGTGCATCTTAAAGCCAATCTAAAAAACCATTTAAAATTTAAAAACTATACAAAAATTGTTAACTTTCACACTATATTGGAATCCTTAAAAGAAAATGAAACTCTTACATGAAATACGAAAGTAATATTTGATAACTGTAGCTAATTACTATTTCAAAAACACTACGTAACTTTATTCAAATTCTGTCCGCGGACAAAACAAGGAAAGAATCAAAATAAATCACATGTCGCAATCCCTCCAGTTGTTATAGCTTCTATCGTTGCTATGACAACGGATGGACTAAAGTTTTATAAGAAAGTTTGGAAACTTACCTACTGACAATCAATACCGGCTCTCTAATATCATGAATTTTTTTTTACACTTTTAAGTTCCGTTAGGTTGGATAGCTCAAGAAGAACTGAAACATTTTCTATTCTGTAATACTAAGCTCAGCAGACACCGAAATTTCGGAACGCCAACGAAAATTTGTGCTACTATTTTTGTTGTTGACATTAATGACACTTTGATATGCACGCCATCTACCGCAACTTTAGAAAACTATTTGTTATAATTTTACTAACTTGTATTTTCGTTAATTTTTTTTTAAATACAAATTTATTCAAAATTTTATAGTTTACGTTAAAAAAATATTTACGTGATTTTTGAGAAAATTTTCTCAATTGTTTGTGATTTATTTCGTCTTTGTTAATAAAGAAAATATTTATTTACTGACAATATATAACTACACATATTTTTATTTAATTTTAAATTATTTCTTAAACTGAAATAAGAAATTAAAACAGTAAAAGTAAAAAGCTCAACTCAGTAGGGTTGAGAAAATAAAAAATTATAGAAAATAAAAAGAAGGTATAGAGATAATTAAAAATTATAAAAGACAAGGAATTAAAAATTTTAGTAAAAAATTGGGAACGATATCCTAATGCTTTTTTTTTTATTAAATTCAATAAAATTATAGTAAAGAAATTAGGAATAACATCCCAATATCCTTTCTAAGTAAAATAAAATTATGGTAAATAAATATAAATCCCTAAAAATATAAATATAAATCCCTTAAAACATAAATATAAATCCCTTAGAAAACGAAAAAAAGAATTAAGATCATAAAAATTAATCAAAATTATAGTAAATTAATGTCAGGATGTTGAAATTGAAAATATAGAAAATAAAAAGAGCTAGAATTATAAAAAATTAAAAAAGTTATGGTAAATAAATATCAGTTGCTGAAATTAAAAATTATAAAAAATTAAAAAAGAAATGGAAATTTTAAAAAATGAAATAGAGATATAGTAAATGCGTATCAGGATGCTGATATTAAAAATTATAATAAATCAAAAAGGAATAAAATAATTAATAATTAAATATAATTATAGTACATAAAGTGTTAAAAATAAGAAGAAGAAAATGAATAATTAAAAAATAATGAAAAAAATAAATAATTAAAATTAATGAAATTAAGGTATTAAATTAAATAAAAGACAAAAGCAAAAATGGATTTATCTAAAATTTTTAAAAAAATTTTTTTTAGTAAATGGTTTAACTGTAAGTTGCTCGACTTTAATCGAAGTTCTCGGGCTACCAAAGAAGAGAATCATTCCCTTTGCAGAAATTCGAAATTGAAATGGTTGTCTGCGGATTATCCACAGGGATGTTTCCCAGACCGTCGCCAATAGCCAATTGTGCAGCTCCAGAGCGAGGAAAATAAAGTACTACAAGAAAAATTGGACACTAAAAAACGTAGAGGGAATTCACATAACTATCATTATTATTACATTCACGCTGGAACGAACATAGTTTTCGTTATCCAAATGATAACTTTCATGCACAACAGATGTTCCCAGAAAAAAAGAAAAGTATGGAGAATTTGAAAAACATTTAGAGTGGGGAAGAAAAGTTGCAAGAATTTTTTTAACATTTTGATTCACTTTATACATGTAGAAATATCCACATTTATAGAACTTTCGTTAAAGAAGATTTTCTTTAAGTTTCATAAAGTATCCTAAAACGTGAATCTCTAAATAAACATAACTTTTTTTCTACGGATTTGGATTTCTGATCCTCAAAAAACGGCGATTAGCCTCATTTTGGGAAATATGATCCGTTTAATTTGAACAAGAGAGAGGTCCAATTATTTTACCTCTTAATGTTAAGTTTTCTTCTCGATTATTTTTTTTTATTCTATATTACATTATTTTATAATCATCGTTGAACAGCCGGCCTAATGTACAACTCCGAAATCTTGTAATTTTGAACCCAATCCAGAAAACAAGGGATCTGTATGTGGTGTGTGCGGAATTCGTATCGACCAGCCAACGGTTGGATTCGAACCCGGTTCACATCATTGAAATGTGAACGCTCTATCACCTGAGCCAACACGGCTCTTCCTGATTATTTCACCATTTCACCGTTTTTAAGTGAGTAGAAAAAAAGTTTGTCAACAATTATAAAATTCGATTATCCAAAAATAATTCCAATCAAAAAATTATTTCTAATAATTATTTATTATTTTAATTCAAAACGGTTTAATAATATTTTGAATTATGAGTGGAAATTTTACCATTGATGCCACATTGGATCGAAATAAAATTCTTTAGTTTATATCTGAAAAATTTTCTATTCTTGTGAGGTCCGTTTTAATAAGTTCTTCAAACGACTAATGTAACAATAATTATTCAGAAACAGTTCAAAAAGTTAAAAATTACAATAGTAATAATAAGTATACCTTTATCGAACTTATTATTACGATAGTAATTATAAGTATACCTTTATTGAACTTCTTATTACAATATTAATAATAAGTATACCTTTCTCGAACTTATTAATACAATAGCAATAATAAGTATACCTTCATTTTTTCGAATCAAATGATATATGGTTCCTGAAAAAAATATTTCGAAAAAATGCCTTATTGTTTCGCTCAATATAGTCAGGAAAACAATATTTGATCTGATGCATTTCACAGAAATTATATTTTTTCGAACAATGGATAATTTCAAAATACATTTCCAGCGAAAGATTAGAAACGCAAATCGTTGTATATTACATACGAATGGTTACAGAAAAAAAGTTACATGTTCCTTCCCCCCAATTAAAAAAACACTCTATTTAATATAAGGTAGATACTGAACAGTGTTTTTAGTAATAATTAGACAATGGTTGTAATTAAGTTGCTGTCATCAATTCTAGTATTTATAACATTTTCAGTAAGTAGTATTACATTTTTGTAGTATTTTTATTACTTTTAATAATATGAAATTTCGCTTTTTTTTAAGTAAAAAATCACGCTTTTTAATAGAAAACACATATTTGCTGTTGACTTATTTTAATGCAAAAAAAGATCACCTTGAATAACCTGTGATCTAATGATCGGATCTTCATGTTCTAGGGGGTAACCTCAAATTTGCTATTAATTAGTACAGATAATATTTTAAGTCACGGAATCAAAAACTAAAACGTACTTTCTCTGAATAAACAAACCTTTTTTCGACGTATTGGGATTTCTGATTCCTAAAGTAAAAAAGGTAGCCGCAATCTGGGAAATATGGTCTCATTAGTTAGCTCAGGAGAGTGGACCAAAGTTAGGTTTCCTTAATGTTAATTTTACTTTCTGCGTACTTCGCCTTATTTTCAGCGAATTTAAACAATTTTACACGCAATTATTAAATTTATTTATCCAAAGATGATTTCATGAAAAAAATAACTTTTAGTAAACATTAACTATTTTTTATTATTCTACTTAATAATAGTCGAAAAAATTTAGAATTGCGATGTATAAAGTTTTTGTACAATATTTTACATGGTAAAATACAAAATTTGAGTTGATCAGCCGAATATTTTCTAAGAAATCGAATTTTAAAAATACGTACTATTGAAGTACGTACTATGAAAAAGTAAACCTAAATGCAATATATTTCGAAAAATTAGGTATAACATTGTAAAGAAAAAAATAAATTTTCTACAACAAATCAGATACAATACCTCACATTCAAGAAAATTGATGCTATTAATAGAACATTTTATTCTTTTCACATCTGAGCAGGTGAAGAGTAAATATAGCAATTGAAATTTCAATCCTTCCCGACTAGCTAGAGAGCTTAAATCTCCATGGGAGCTATGTTTGAATCATTTTCTGATCAGAATATCTTGTAATATTATCCATTAGGGAATTTATCGTCAATCAAAATCTCACCCGCTTTCCGGTTAACTAGAGTCATCAAAGCTGTAACACAGCTTTATCCCAAAGGTCAATCATAAGTTTCGATTAGTATCTAAATGCTAGAAGCAGAGTTTGCCGTAATCTCACTGTCGGACATTTAAAGTGGATCAAGCTCTTACCAACTTGTTTGGCAGCTTAAATTTCAACAGGAATATAACTATATTCAATCAAAATAGAGACCAATTTCCCACTAGCTAGAGTTATGAAATATCCGCTAGAGTTTTGAACCTGATGACAATATAATATTTTTTTATTTTCTAAGCACTACAAGCAGAATTTGTCGCTATATTATCTCTACCACAAATTTATATAAGCAATCTAAATCTCTTTCAGCAAATTTCAAATGGATTACTGTGCTTAATGCCAATTATAAGTAATTATTGCTACTTCAATGGTGCAAGCAAAACTTTTTTGTCATTTTATAGCCACGACTTTTCAACTTAAGTAAACTTACAAGACAAAAAACTAAATAAAAAATTTTGGAAAAAACTTTAATTTTAAAGTAGACAAAAGGAGAAAATAACTTCATTTATGTCAAAACATTACATAGGAACTTAAGATGCAATATTTTCGTAATAAACTGAAAATTCCTCTCACATCTTTCGAAAGTCTTCTTTTTCTCAGTGGCTCGACAGACGTGGGTGGCACCTAGCCTTCTCCAGATGTTTTAACGTAATAGTGATTGAAATTTTTCGCGTTGGCAACGCGAGAAAAGAAACTTCCTCGGCTTGTGTGATCTCATTAAAACCATAGAGCATTTAATTTTCATCAATTTTTGAGAATTATGATGCGAGCTGAAAAAATAAAAAGAATAAAACTTATAAACAATTATCAATAATATATTGCACTCAAAATCTAATTTTCGAACTGTTTTTAAAATATTTTTTTTAAAATAAAGATCACTCAAAATAATCCTAAATATCTCATATATGCTTTCCCAAAATTTTAACTCTTAATTTTTTTGCAGACTGCACATGCACAAGATTGCGAACATGGTAAGTTCCTGTCTTTCGAATAGTATTTTGAATAGTTAGAAATGTTCCATGTGTAATACAATATTTAATTTTAATAAATTTAAAAGTTGAGATAGGAAAAGAAAAGTGATAAGATACAAATAAAAATCCCATGATTCATTTTTATAATGAAACAGTTTTTTTGATAAGAGGCAATAGTATTGTAAATGAGTTAAAATGCATAGCTTTTGACACTAAAAAGATTTTCCAAAAAGAGCTTGACTGGCGTTACCCGTAAGACTAACCTAATTGTTTACACCTCAGTATTACTACTATTTTTTTAGCATGTGCTGTGAAGCTCAAAAAGCGTTAGCTAGTCGTGGTGGCTCAGGGGATAAGGCATTCGCCTTCCAATGAGATGACAGGGTTCGAATCCCAGCGATGGCTGGCCCGTACGAATTCCGCACCCGGCTGACACCGATCACAATTCTGACGTAAAATATCCTCAGTGGTAGATGGGATCATGGGTTTAGAGAACCCTCGCCGTCAGGCTAACCGTGGCAGGTTTTCGCAGTTTTCCTTTTAATATTTTAACACGGAATTTGTTGCACATATTTCGTTTCTTACTGGTATAAAATTTAAGTCAAGTAACTTTGCTCCTTTACCATTACAATTTTATCTTCAAAGTTATTTCTTAAATTCATATTTAATTTTAATAACTGTAAAAACTCTGCAAGTAATTTTCACTAAAAGTATTGTTAAGAAATGGCCTAAAAAGTTCATTTTTAACATTGGTTTAAAATTTAAATTATTATTCTACATTCATCACTTCAATGACACACGTTTTCTGAACAAAGCTTTTCGGGAAATTCATTTTAAAAGTAAATATGTTACAGTGAATGGCCGAAATCAGGAGAATGTCGACTTTCACCGGTGAATGTCAACAATCACACATTCCCTTTGGTAAATATACGAAATATTTGTTGTATCCAATTTATCTTAATCTATTCGTTTATGTCATTATATTTATTCTATATTTTAATATCTCCTGAGGATAGATTGGGAGAAACATTAGTGTTCGGAGTACCATTTAAATGTATACTGGGCAGTGGCACTGAACCTTAAAAATACATCAGTGTAGGGTATACCGGGCAAATGTATACTGGGCAGTGGCCCCTAACTGGACCTCATATAAAATTTCGGACATTTACCAAATCGACTCTGTGATTGTCAACATTCACCGGTGGAAGCCAACAACCACCGATTTCGGTCATTCACAGTAACAAATATAGATTATAAAAAGGAACTATACTTAACTGCAAAATTTAAAAAAGGTAATTATATTATTTACCGTTTATTGCCAAACGGTGACTAAATACCTTTCTCATGAAGTGTTGCAAAAACGGTAATATCATGCGATTACTGTATAATGTAATAAAGGAACAGCACTTTTACTTCTTAGCCTTTAATTTTGACTCAATACTCAAAATCGAAAACGTAATAATGACAGAATAATTTTAGACAGCCACGATGAATAAATATCACTAGTGAACCTGGTAGATGAAATCCCTTTGCACTGCAGAGGGCGATGCAAATTATTTTAATCTATCTTATTTTTTAAAAGCAAACAAAGAATGAGGAAGATTTTCTGAAATTCTTCTTTTAAAAGAACTCCAAACTTGATTTTAATAAAAACTGTGAAACTAAACTGAGCAAATACCGTAGAGGATAGAAAGTAAGGAAAAAATGTTTTCTGTAATTTGTTATCTGTTAAAATTAAAAAAAATTATTCTGTTAATTTAACTGTATAGAGATTTAATCCATTTTTTTTTAAGAATCATTGTATAAAATTCTAATTAAACAAGATAAAGTTATTTTTTATGTCCTAATATCCTTTTTAATATCCTAAAGCTAATTTTTAAGGTCCTAATATTTTGCAAATTTTTTACTTAAATTTTGTGACTTGATGTGTTGTTTGTAGCTGATTTTTACTGTTAGTTTGAGCAACTGATTTTTTAACGACCGATTATGCTATTTTTTTCACATATTTAAGGTTAACCCCTCGAAACTTAGTATGAAACCTTGAATTTTAAAAAGTGATATTCCAATCAGTAGATCAAAAGCTATTAAAGTCTTCTGTTTCTTTTTTTTTTTTGCGCACTGTATTAGAGTAATTGTGTTTTGTTTCCTAGATGAATCCGAAGCTATGCAGACATTAGCTAAGCTGGCGAAAACTGATATGTTTTTGAGAATATCTGTATATGTAAGGAGACTTTACTCATTTAAAGAACATTGCACTAAAATATAATGCTGTATATACCAACGAGCGCTGAGGGCTCCGGGGATAGAGCGTTCACCTTCCAGTGAGATGAACCGGATTCGAATCCCAGCGATGGATGATGGATACGCATCCGGCTTGCATCCACCACAGTGCTGACATAAAATATCCTCAATCGTAGACGGGTCATTTTTTGATTCCCCTTGCCGTCATGCTAACAGTGGGAGGTTTTCGTGGTTTTCCTCCCTATGTAACGCAAATGAGGGTTAGTTTCATCAAAAAGTTCTCCATGAAGGCAAATTTCTCCCAATACTTGATCCAGGAGTTCCCTTGTCTTCTGGACTGAATTCAAAATTGCAGATTACGGAGTTGAACATTAGTAGTCGTAAACCCAAAAATATTGGGTCGGCTATTCAACGATGGTTATAAAATATGTACTTGCAGAGCCGTGATGGCTCCGAGGATAGAGAGTTCGCCGTACAATGAGGTGAACCGGGCTCGAATCCCAGCGATATTTGGTCGATACAAATTCCGCACCCGGCTTGCGCTGACCACAGTGCTGGCATAAAAATATCCTCAATGGTAGACGGATCATAGGTTAGAGTTCCCTTACCTTTGGGGTAACCGTGAGAGGTATTCATGGTTTTTCCTCTCCATGTAATGCACATGCGGGCTAATTCCATCAAAAAGTCCTCTACGAAGGCAAATTTCTCTCAATACTTGATCCAGAAGCTCCCTTGTTTTCTGGATTAGATTCAAAATTACAAGGCTATGAAATTCAACTTTGGTAGCAGTAAACTCGTCTAAAATAAAATATATACTTGATGTGCAACATTTTTTTATTCAATTCTAAGACACTTGAATTGTTCTCAGTCGCATAATTTGTTAACTGTTATTTTGGATCAAAATAATCATCAAATGTTGTCTTTTTGCTTTCTTATGAAGTTTTGAATTAATTAATAATGTTGGTAGGCATTATTAGTATTAAATATTTACGTCGCTCTAGAACAACCTAATGAGTTATTGGCGACGGTCTTGCTGGTATTGGCAAGGGCATTAGTAACAACAGCACCCAACAATTGTCCACTTTCAATAAATAAAAAACATACTCATAAGTTTTTAAAACCAATTTAAATAGAAATTATCATAAATGTAGGTTACATTTTCAAATTTTTAGTACATATTTGTAAAATACAGCTTTCATTTTTGATATTTTCCATGCAACTTGTGATTTGGCTGTACTACTGTCTTATTTTTAGACGATCGAAATTACGTAATACAATTTAATAGACTTCTTATTCTTTTTAGAGTTATGAGTTTCGGCCGTTCCAAAAATGGCCCGAAAAGCAAGATCTCATTACACCAGATAAGCGATTTAGTAAGTAATTATTTTATAAGATGTTATTTAAACACCACCACTAATGTACATTTTTATAATACTAATCGAAGACAAACAAGTGAGGAAATAGGTAGATAACAGATCACAAAAACAGATTTTGACATAGATCACAAATTATTCTTACAATGAGGAATGAGGAATAAAACGTGATCAATTAATTCGAAAAACTCTACAATCTATCAAAGCAAATAAGTTGAACTATTTCATTTGTTGTGAATGAGTTCGTCACTTATAAACATTTTTTTTGACAAGGTATCAAAAAATTTCATTGATAGATTGCGTTAAAAAGTTTATTAAGGATTTTTGGAATGTCTCTTTTTTCTGATGAAATAAAAATGTCTAAGCTGAAGTCACTTCTGGTATCTACCTACCAAAGACTGAAAAAAGGAGGCTCCACTTGACATTTAAAAACGTGTATAAAATTTAAAAGGAGCTCGCCTCCGCATGCTGATGCTACCATCTAGTGACAATAACAAAAATAAAAGTTTTGGCGCATCTCCTTTCAAAAATAAAACTTGCAGTCATTCGACACCGAAAACATTAAAATATTTTTTTACATTTTCAATAGGGGAGGAGCATAGTACATAAAAAGAAAATTTTATAGTATAGTAGAGCAATGTCTTCGATTGCAATAAGTTGAATTGCTATTTTATATTTTTATTCTTGAAAATTAATTTCAAATTGATAGGAAGTTTTTTTTTTTAATTTTATCATTTATTTATTTATTTACTTATTTATTTGAACAGAAAAAGTGGAAAAAAGGAAGTCACTCCAAAGAACAAAGATAATTAAATTTTACAAAATCGTAAGTATACTTTTATCAAAATATTATTCTTTATACCAACCCTTACGAAAAAAACAAGGTGTTTTTGAGGTTGCCAGATGTAAGAAACTCACCAGAGGTAGAAAACGAGGTTATGTTTTACACCAAAAACAACCTCATTCATAAACCTCAATTTCAATCTCATTTTCACCTTATAAAATCAACATAGCTCAGCGATACTTTTAGTTGAGATAGAGTGAAATTACTCACACCTCAAATATACTTATTTGCTTGAAGTGCAGAAAAAAGTTACCTGCACACCTAAAAAACAACCTCCCTCAGCTGATTGCTCTACAGTAGGTTTCGAACCTTCAAACTACCTTAAATATGAATAAAACAACTTCATACACCTTGATTTATACATCTTGGGAGGTTGATTTTGTAATGCTGTTTTTGAAGTCAATCTCAATATAACCTTAATGCCTTGAAACAACCTCAAATAAACTTCAAAAAAACAATTAATTCTCGAGAAGTAATTGTTTTTTTGAAGTTTATTTGAGGTTGCTCGAACAATCGTTCGAATTCTTTATACTTAAGAGTAAAGACCCTATTCTCTGTCACCTAGCAATGACCTATTAGTTTGGTATTTCCAAATTTCTGAAAAAACTAATTATATTTATGACATAATCCGATAATTCATCTTGATATCATTATAATGTTATAAGAAAAAGAAACTTATATCACAAATAAACTTTGTTTGTTTTCATGAGAATATTAATAAATATTTAGAACACCTCAGCTGTGTACACTAAAAATGGCACATTTTTTACTCATTCCAACATAATATTTTTTTTCTGCATGTTGAAGCAAATGAAATGTTTTTTAGACATACAAAACCATTTCATAATTAATTTCACTAAGTGATTCTTTTAATTAAAATATAAAAATAATTTTAATTAGAGTTTAAAAGGCTCAGGCAACATTATGAGTATAATAAATGCCTTTCAACAAGTAAGCATGCAAACAGACCTGTTGGTTTTATTGTTCACGCCGCCTTTCATTTCTATCCGACAAATAAACTGGTCCTTGATTATTCGCTATAGCAGCGCCATCTGGGGAGAAAAACCAGTTCCATGTCTTTACCCTTCTTTTCTCAGTTGTATAAGAATGTGCTACGATATTTTCCCCTTGCTTAATGCTTTTCGCATTTACCTATCGAAATTTTTTTTTTAATTTCCAAAGTTTTCTTTTAGGACTATATTCAACGCAGTTTTCAGTTCCATAAATTTTCCTAACTTAAAAGTTTTCAATATCTACTTGAAAATCAAGACAGAAACTAACATACTTCCTTCTCCTATGACTCTCCACACGCTAACGGTGAAAGCATGCGAAGTGTTACCATAGACAGAGAGTTCTGCAGTTCGCCTCCTGTACCCCATTTCGATCGCCAATTTTAACCTATTTACAAAGATTTTAATACTGTCAAAGTATTTATTGTGAAGAACTTTCTACATTTTAACTGTAAGTTATTTATATGTTATAGGTTTTCAGAATTGACAATTATGGCGGAATGTTTAACGACAAAAGAACTACCTTTGTTTTTAAAGATAAACATCAAAGTAAGTACATAGATAAAGGCTATTACTTTTTGTGCCTAATGTATATTTTTGGCTTTCGATTATTTTCCTAGGCGTTTCCATATTATATCAGATCTCTACTAAGTTCTTGAATTAAACTTAATATAGCAGTCTCCTAGAGACAAAACATTTTTTCAACTTAGGGATGATAGTCACTGGATGCTAAGCTCAAATTATAGGGTGTGTGATTATGTTTCACAGAAACTATCTCATAAGAGCGATGGTTAAAAGGCGAAAAAGTGAAAAGTGAGATTTTTATGCTTTTCAAGGACTTCCGAGGAGTTGATATGACAGGGGCATCAAACAAAGAAGCGATAAAGGACGAAAATAGATAAATATTCAATTTTTAAAATGACATAATATTGCAGAAAATGAATGACTTTTTTTGTATTTCATATACTTTTCAGATTGCACTTCAAGATTCAATTTCTAGTGATGTTAAGTTATTTATTTATTTATTTTTAGATTCAAAGATAAAGAAACTAGATCATGTACATTCCCAAGAAAAAACCGCTACTTTAAACATCAAGTTCAAAGGTTCAAAAAATGTAGACAAAGATTTGCAATTGCAGGTAGAGTAAATTAATCATTAAAATAAAGATGGTGTTCCGTATTGACCACTCTTAAATATGAAGTTTCCTCATAGAAAATCGTTGTAAAAAAAAGTTGCAAATTACTATTTAAGCCAGGGGAAAAAACGCTATTGAAATCTAACTTATCACTACTAAGAAAGACGGAATTGAAAGAAAAAAAATCCTGTTTGATCGCCGGAGGAAACGAGAGTTAAATGGAGGTTGTTTAGAACACCCCCAATTTTCATAACGCATCCAAACTGGTTTGGGACGTTTTTCCTTTTTTTTTAAGACATCTGTTTGTGACTCGAAACATTTTGTTCCTTCGTTACTTACACATTAACTTACAATTTTTTTTGTTCCTAGTCAAAAATGGAGTAAAAATCATATTTTTTCAAAAAAATTGAAAAAATTTATTAAGGGGGGTAGTAAGGGGGTAATAAACATATTTTTCAAAACAATTTTAATACACAGCATCGGAAACTTTTCCAATAGTACAAAACATTTTAACAAAAATTATTTTTCAGAAAAAAAAAAAGAATTCTTCACATTAGAAGTCTCATTTAAACAAATCTTTCTCTAAACCAGGCGAATTATTATCGACATGAATCACACATCTAATGTGAGATTTTAAAAAAAAAAAATAGGAAATTGATTGTTACATTTGATTCAACAAAAAAATTTTACACATATATATTAGAATTTGAGTACCCAAAACCCTTTATAAATTGTTTCACGTGCCTTAATAAAATATGCAACTGAGGTGGTGATTACTAAACACCCTATATTTAAACTAGCAGCAAAAAATACGCGTCATTGATTGCAGTTTTTAACCTCCCAAACAAACACTAGTTACGAATACATTAACTTTATTTTCTTCAAAAACAGTTAATATATTCACAACTTGTGTTATAGAGTAATTTTCTAAGTTTTCGAACAATACTATTTAACAATGCATCTCACTATTAGTTCAATGAGCTGTACAAATTTTTGGCTATAATATGTTAATTAAATAATTCATTTCTTGATATGCAAGATAACACTGATGTATTTTTTGTGCAGTTTCATATAGGTTCCAAGAAGAAAAAGGTAAAGAATGTACACGAATTCTACTACGGCAATCATAGTAAAGGTAAATTACAATCCATTATTACAGTTTTAATCTTCACTACATATTTTTTTTTCCTTACAGTAAACCAAGTCAACTTTTCCTCTTTGATAAGACTGCTAGGGCAACTTTGCCTTACTTTTACAGTCTGACATGCGACCGAGAACATAGCCGATAGCTTTTAAACAGCAGCGTCATCTGTTAATAATCTTGGTCATTGATTTTGCTTAATAGTGGGAAAAAATTTCGGGTTCCTTACATTTTGTTTTAACAATAGTTTTTAAACGTTGATTATGTTTGAAACATCCAGTGATTATTAAACAAAATCGGGTACTAAAGCATCTTTTTCTTGAATAAATATTATTTTTCATTAACTGATTCGTAATCTTGATTTTCAAAATATGGAGGGTAGTTGCAATTTAAATAAAGTGTCACCAAAAGCTCATTCAGAGAGTTTGGTATTTTTCTTATCTTAAAAACAATATTGAATCTTGTTTATTTCAGATGATGGAAAGGATGCTTTTTAATAGAATAATTTATTCTAGATAGGAAGAAAAAAATTAATTACTGCAACGATTCATTAGTTTTAATTTATTGTTCAAAGCAACATATCTAAAAGCTCATTGGTTGATTCCTAAGCTGTAGAAATGGAATTTTTTTGCAAGGATAAGGGGAAAAAAGCATCATTCTTTTAAATGGTTTACTTCAGATGATGGAAAGGATTCTTTTTTAATAAAATAAGCTTTCTAAATAGAATACGTTTTTCTAAATAGAAAGAAAAAAATTAATTATTGCAACGATTCATTAGTTTTAATTTATTGTTCAAAGCAACGTACCTAAAAGCTCATCGGTTAATTCCTAAGCTGTAGAAATGGAATTTTTTTGCAAGGATAATGGAAAAAAGCATCATTCTTTTAAATGGTTTATTTCAGATGATGGAAAGGATACTTTTTTAATAGAATAAGTTATTCTAAATAGAATAAGTTTTTCTAAATAGAAAGAAAAAAATTTATTATTGCAACGATTCATTAGTTTTAATTTATTGTTCAAAGCAACGTACGAGGGTTGCTATTTATATTTCTGGCCTAATAATGAAAAAACAAATATGTAGGATCGAAATTGGTTTTATTGTTTTTCAAAATATTCTCCATGATGATCAATACACTTTTGCATGCGTTTGAACCAATTTTCAAAGCACTTTTTCCAGTCCGATTGAGGTAACTCCAAAACATGCGTTTTGAATGCATCAACCGCTTCTTCGGGGGTCGNAAATCCTCCTCACAGCTTGATTCACTTTGGATAGTATTTATTATATTACGTGTTTTTTTTTTCTAATCATATTCGAAATCAAGTCATGCATTTTGCAGATATATTTGATGCGTGAAACCCAATATGTTCTACAGTTTAAGGGTGTAGATAATTAAAGTGCTGTTTGAACATAGTACTCCTTATGTTGCTTATTATGAAGAGCTGTTTGGACATAGTACCCTTTATGTTGCATATTATGAAGAGTTGTTTGGACATAGTACCCTTTATGTTGCATATTGTGAAGAGCTGCTTGGACATAGTAACCTTTATATTGCGTATTATAAAGAGCTGTTTGGATATGTGTAGAAAAATGCTATTCTCGTTGAAGGTCGTTGGAAGTGCTGTTTGAGCAAAAATAACAGAATATTTTTGTTGTATGTTATTAAAAAAGCGGTTTGAAGGTGAAAAATATCTTGCTTGTTGAATATCATTGAAGTGTTGTTTGAACGAAAGCAGGGCAAAAATGGTGTGGGAAACTCAATATGTTTCACAGATAGAGGATGAGTGTAAGTAATCTACTGCTTATTTTTATTTTATAACCATCGCTGAATAGCTGACCCAATTTAGAGTTTACGGCTACTAATGTTCAACTCCGTAGCCCTTGTTATTTTGAATCCAGTAGAGAAGACCAGGAAACTTTCGGATCGAATATTGGGCGAAATTTGCCATTATGGAGGACTTTCTGATGGAACTAACCCGCATTTGCGTTGCATGGAGAGGAAGACCTCGAGAACCTCCCACGATTAACCTGACGGCAAGGGGACTCTAACCTATGATTCGTCTACTACTGAGGATATTTAACAGCAGCACTGTGGTCGGTGCAAACCGGTAGCAGAATTCGTATAAACCAGCCATGGCTGGGATTTGAACCCGGTTCACCTCATTGGGAGGCCACCTGGGTGAGAGCCAGGTATCCTAACCACTAGACCAAGTAAGAGAGGAAGTTTAAAAAAATTAAAATTGATAGGAAAATACTATTTTTGATATATATATATATATATATATATATATATGCATTTTGAAACAAATGAAATGTTTTTCAGACATACCAAACCATTTCATAATTAATTTCACTAAGTAATTCTTTTAATTAAAATATAAAAATAATTTGAATTAGCGTATAAAAGACTCAGGTAACATTATGAGTATAATAAATGCCTTTCAACAAGTAAGCATGCAAACAGACCTGTTGGTTTTATTGTTCAGCCCCTTTCATTTCTATTCGACAAATAAACTGGTTTTTGATTATTCGCTATAGCAGCGCCATCTGGGGAGAAGACCAGTTCCATGTCTTTACCCTTCTCTTCTCAGTTGTATAAGAATGTGCTACGATATTTTCCCCTTGCTTAATGCTTTTCACATTTACCTGTCGAAAATATGTCTTACTTTATTTCCAAAATTTTCTTTTAGAACAATATTCAACGTAGTTTTCAGTTCCATATATTTTCCTAACTTAAAAGTTTTTAATCTCTATTTGAAAATCAAGACAGAAACTAACATACTTCCTTCTCCTCTGACTCTCCACGCGCAAATGGGGAAAGCGTGCAAAGTGTTACCATATAGGTAGAGAGTTCTGCTCTACGCCACCTATACCCCATTTCGATCACCAATTTTAACCTCCATTTTACAAAGATTCTAACATTGACAAAGTATTTATTGAGACGAACTTTCTACATTTTAACTGGAAGTTATTAATATGTTTTAGGTTTTCAGAATTGACAATTATGGTGGAATGTTTAACGACAAAAAAACTACCTTTGTTTTTAAAGATAAACATCAAAGTAAGTACACAGATGATGGCCCTTACTTTTTGTGATAATGTATATTTTTGCCTTTCGATGATTTTCCTAGACATTTCCATATCATATCAGATCTCTACTAAGTTCTTGAATTAAACCTAATATTCTATGTCATCGCAATCTCCTAGAGACAAAAATTTTTTTCAACTTAGGGATGGTAGTCAATGGATGCTAAGCTCAAATGGTAGGGTGTGTGTTTATGTTTCACAGAAACTATCTCAGAAGAGCGATGGTTAACAGGCGAAAAAGTGAAAGGTGAGATTTTTATGCTTTTCAAGGACATTCCGAGGAGTTGGTATGACAGGGGCATCAAACAAAGAAGCGATAATGGACGGAAATAGATTAATATTCAATTTTTAAAATGATATAATAGTGCAGAAAATGAATTAATTTTCGTGTATTTCAAATACTTTTCAGATTGCTCTCCCGTATTCAATTCTATTCTAGTGAACATATTCTAGTGATGTTATTCTAGATTCATATTCCAGTGATGTTAAGTTATTTATTTATTCATTTTCAGATTCACAGATAAAGAAACTAGATCATGTGCATTCCCAAGAAAAAACCGCTACTTTAAACATCAAGTTCAAAGGTTCAAAAAATGTAGACAAAGATTTGCAGTTACAGGTAGAGTAAATTAATCATAAAAATAAAGAGGGTGTTCCGTATTGACTACTCTTAAATATAAAGTTTCCTTACACAAAAACTTTGTAAAACAAACATGCACACTAGAAGTTGCAAATTACTATTAAAGCCAGGAAAAAAAAAAAACGCCATCGAAATCTAACATATCACTACAAAGAAAGACGGAATTAGAAAAAAAATCCTGTTTGATCGCCGGAGGAAACGAGAGTTAAATAGAGGTTGTTTGAAACACCCCCAAGTTTCATAACGCATCCAAACTGGTTTGGGACGTTTTTCCGTTGTTTTTAAGATGCTTGTTTGTGACTCGAAACATTTTGTTCCTTCATTACTTACAGAATAACTTAAAAAAATTTTTTGTTCCTAGTCAAAAATGGAGTGTAAATCATATTTTTTCACTTCATTTTTGACTAGGAATTAAAAAAAATCATTAAGGAAGGTGGTAAAGGGGTAAGAAACTCGACATGAACCACACATCTAATGTGAGATTTTAAAAAGAGTAGGAAATTGATTGTTACATTTAATTTAACAAAAAAAAATTATATATATATATATATATATATTAAAGTTCTTGAGTACCCAAAACCCTTTATAAATTGTTTCACGTGCCTTAATAAAATATGCATCTGAGGTGGTAATTATTAAACACTCTATATTTAAACTAGCAACAAAAAATACGCGTAATTAATTGCAGTTTTTAACCTCCCAAACAAACACTAGTTACGAATATATTAACTTTATTTTCTTCAAAAAAAGTTAATATATTCGCAGCTTGTGTTAATTAGAGTAATTTTCTACTTTTTTTAACAATACTATTTAACAATACATCCATTATTAGTTCAATGAGCAGTACAAATTTTTGGCTATAAAATGCTAATTAAATTATTAATTTCTTGATATGCAAGATAACACTGATGTATTTTTTGTGCAGTTTCATATAGGTTCCAAGAAGAAAAAAGTAAAGAATGTGCACAAATTCTACTACGGCAATCATAGTCAAGGTAAATTACAATCCATTATTACAGTTTCAATCTTCACTACATATTTTTTTTTTTTTTTTTTTACCTTGCATTAAACCAAGTCAATTTTTTCTCTTTGATAAAACTGTAGGGCAACTTTGCCTTACTTTTACAGTCTGACATGCAACCGAGAACATTGCTGATAGTTTTTAGACAGCAGCGTCATCTGTTAATAATATTGGTTATTGATTTTGCTTAATAGTGGGGAAAAATTTCAGGTTCCTTTCGTTTTGTTTTAACTATAGTTTTTAAACGTTGATTATGTTTAAAACATCCAGTGATTATTAAACAAAATCGAGTACTAAAGCATCTTTTTCTTGAATAAATAATATTTTTCATCAACTGATTTGTAATCTTGGTTTTCAAAATATGGTGGGTAGTTGCAATTTAAATGAAGTGTCACTAATAGCTCATTCAGAGAGTTTGGTATTTTTCTTATCTTAAAAAAAATATTGAATCTTGTTTATTTCAGATGATGGAAAGGATGATTTTTAATAGAATAATTTATTCTAGATAGAAAGAAAAAAATTAATTATTGCAACGATTCATTAGTTTTAATTTATTGTTTAAAGCAACATATCTAAAAGCTCATTGGTTGATTCCTAAGCTGTAGAAATGGAATTCTTTTGCAAAGATAATGGAAAAAAGCATCACTCTTTTAATAGTTTATTTCAGATTGTGGAAAGGATGCTTTTTTAATAGAATAAGTTATTCTAAATAGAAGGAAAAAAAATTATTTTTGCAACGATTCATTAGTTTTCATTGTTCAAAGCAACGTACCTAAAAGTTCATCGGTTGATTCCTAAGCTGTAGAAATGGAATTCTTTTGCAAAGATGATGGGAAAAAACCTCATTATTTTGATGGTTTACTTCAGATGATGGAAAGGATGCTTTTTTAATAGAATAAGTTATTCTAAATAAAATAAGTTATTCTAAATAGAAAGAAAAAATTAATTTTTGCAACGATTCATTAGTTTTCATTGTTCAAGACAACGTACCTAAAAGCTCATCGGTTGATTCCTAAGCTGTAAAAATGGAATTCTTTTGCAAAGATGATGGGAAAAAGCATCATTATTTTAATGATTTATTTCAGATGATGGAAAAGACGCTTTCTTAATAGAACCTGGTCTCGAAATGGGATATGGAGAACCTTTAACATATCACATCTTTGTAAGTTACTATTTTACACTGAATAAAACACATAAAATATTCATAATTTTTACGTAATTTTTTATATAAATTACAATTTTCAGATGTATTTCAAAAACAATGCTCCTGGAGAAGAACCAAATATTAAAGGTAAATAATTTTTTTTGTCAGAATTATAGTAGTTTTTTTCTCCCCAAATTTCGGTAATAAAATTGACAACTCTCAGTTCTGGAGGTGCAAAGTATCTAAATTATAAATTCCATGAACACAGAATTTTGCTTAAATATCGAAACTTGTTAATTCTACAAATTTAAAGTTCTTGAATTAAAATTTGAAGAAAGGAGAAATATTTAGCTCGTCAAAAAGGCCTTAATCTTCAATTAGTTTCATTTTCACAGATAATTACGAAATTGTACAAGAATCGCAAACATAACATTGCCGAAACTAAATTTTAGATAACTTTATTGAATGATCTACACATTTTACAAAACTTAATCTATCATTCTTTAACTTTCAAATACATCTCATAAAATTCGATGATAAATTTTTGCAGAAGTCTGATGTATAGTGTGTATGAATTCAAAGGAATTATCTCAAACTGATGCGGAAAGATACATTTCAATAAGTTGCATAAAAAGAAGGATTAATGTCAATATTGTTAGAAAATCTATTTTGTTGCTCTCTCTATGTATATGCTTCTTGTTTTGAAAATGAGCGCAGTGTTAGAGAGGTCGACATGCGTCGGCTTTTTCCCCTATTTTAAGCAGCTTAATGAAGTTATTTTTGAAGTGTTTAAAAATTAATTTATGTAATTTCAAAAGTTGTAAGATCCCTTTTAGGTAGTTTAAACTTAAGTTATTATCACTAAATTATTATACAGAGTGTTCAGTAAGCACTGCTCTTCATTATACATTTTTATAATGCTTCTTAAAAATGAAGTACGAAAAGAAACACGAAAAGGGCTCGATAGTTAATGTCTGAATAAGGAAAAAAACATCGAAATTGAACGGGACAACAAAACTTCAAAACCTGTTTGATTGCAAGATGAAACAAGAGTTGAAAGCCAAACTAATTTTGAAGTTTCTTATTTCGCCTTCCGTTACACTCAACAGATTTTGATATCACTTTATTTTTTCCTCACTTGTATAGTAATTTGCAATCCCAAATGTGTTCTTTTTTTTTTACTTCAATTTTAAGCACATTTTTAAAATATATATATTGAAAGCAGTGATTATAAAACACCCTACATTATGATTGAAATTCTTGAAATCATGACACTTATAATTTATTTAAAAATCATAACTAGCATTATTGTGTTAAAACCCATTCACTGTTTTGCTTTGCTTTCGTATTATGTAAAAATTAGCATGCACTGTAAATTTGAAAATTGTTAATTAGAACGTTTAATGAATTTTACAGCCGATAATGATGTTAATAAAGCCTTAAAAGAAATAATAAAGTCTTCAGACCCTGTAAAAGCAGACGGAAGCTTTAGGTGGGAAAGAACGGTATATATTCAAATCTTCTTTTATTTCATTGTTAATTATACAATGTATTCTGATGTTTCTATTATAATGTGTCAAATTTCTAACAGAAATTATAACTCAGGGCTCGAAAATTTCAAAATTTACATGTCCAGTCTACAAAACACATAACTGGATGAAACTTCAACGTAGCCAAACATCTTTTTCGTAATTACATAAACAGAAACATATGGGTGTTGTGTCCATGTCCAAGAGGTCGTGAATTCGGTCGAAGACTCTCCCTGTAGTAAATGATGACTGGTGCATGGTAAATCTGTCGGGTCACAAAGCCCTCCAAGTTTCCATAATAAATACCTCTATAGAATCGGTGATTGATCGTTCTCTGGTTCAGGTCAAAATAACTATCTGTGGATGAATGTGTGAATGGGTCCGCCCTATAAACTAGCAGTGACATGTGTGTGGCAGAAGTCATATTCTTGGCCATAGATGGCACCACCTAAAAACAAAAAACGCACCCTCTGCCTTAAATTCGCTTGGTTTCACCAAACAGGCTTGCTGGTTTTGGTAAATAGCATTAGAAACAACAACACGAAAACACATAAATGTTTTATGAATCCATCGAATAAAATAAATATAACCTACAGTAATACATTGTTTTAAGCAATAAGTTAGAGAACAATTAGGCATTATTGATAACGAAATATTATTCACAATGAAGCATTTGATGGAATTGTTTTGTACGAATAAACATTGAAAAGCACGAATAATCTATTTTCTTTAAAATTATGAGGGGCGCTTAATTGGTATTTTACGCTAACTGATCACATATTTACGGTCAGTACGGGCATGCAATAGTAAAAAATACTTTTATATATCCCGGGCATGTCGGCTGCATAATTTTCAAAACCTAGTACAAGCAATAAAACAGTTTAGCTTTATAACTACTTCGCACATGGAATTTTCCGTAATAATCGTCTTTAATACATAATTTTTGAATCCCTGCCAAATAAAAGATTCAAATTTTCAAGTGATTGCAAATTAATGTGTAAGCAAGAAAAAAAATGAAGAAAAACTTAATAAAAACTTGACGAGTCATGAACGAGAGGCATCTAAAATCAAGAGACACTTAGTTTTCTAAATAAACAGAAATCAGTTAAAAGGAGATCATTAGGGAGATCAACAATTTTATTTTGATAATCATATTAGTTAGGTATTTCAATTCCAAACCAAGTGATATGCATATGTATATCAGCATACCCCCCCCCCCNTCCCCCAATTGTCCAAATAGTTCATTTCTTTTATTTTGTCAGAATATTGTTATTTTCCCGTAATTCGATCTATAGTTTGTCTACAGTAAGAACTCCTCTAGCCATTCGTATGGACCCGGGGCAGTGACTATGGTAACAAGATAAAACTATTTCAAATAGGGGTGTGGGGTCGCTGCGAGAGAAAAGGAATCTTTTTCTTTGGTCTATAATGTTAACCCTAGAGTGACCCTCTTTGAAATGCGCTATTCTTGTTTTCATAGCAGCAGATGGCCTCGGATTTTGGAGAGGGGAGTTCTTACTGTAGACAAACTATATTAAAGTCGTAATTTATATTTTTATTGAAAAAGAAAAACTGGTCGTGAAAGGGTTAAGTCAATTTCGTCTTTGAGACTTTCCCAAATTTTAGAAGATCTCTACTGCCCCTCAAGCTCAAGGAACGTGGTGGGAAAGGGGATGAAGTCTCTGTGCCGCTGATTCTAAATGCATTTTTGAAAATTTTCCTTTCTCTTAACATTTATATGTAGTTACTTCAAACTGTTTTGAACTACCACAAACTATTACACTCCAGTTAGAAATAAATACATATTTTTTTCATAACTATTACAGGAAAAGGCAATACGTAATGTCCGCAACAGTCTTTGTGATTTCCTAAAAGCGTGGATTAAACCCTCCTCTTCAACTAAAAATAAAGGTAAGTAATTCTTCTTAAAAAACTAGATAACACATATCGGAGGCTAATTAAAATATCCGGCTCCTTGCTAATGTCGGTAACATTTTGCATACAGAACAATTAGCCAGACTTAGAAGTAAAGTCTCCAGTATTTTCATTTAATTAATTACGTATATACAAGTGAGATACTACAATGTGTCTTAAATTTTCAACGGATCTGAAAATACTAGTGACTTCGCAAAATGTCAGCGGTTTGCAAAGATCCTGATTATTTAATTAGCCTACGACATACCAGGGTTGTTTTTTTAAAATAGGGCCGTTTTGTTGCGTGCAAAAATAGGTGACGCTTGCTTCGCAGCGAGTGCTTGTGCCATGTCCCGGCTTTCCTTGGGAACAACTGTGCTCAGTTGCAGCTGTATAGGTCAGTTCTATGTCTATAAAATGTTCATCTATTTTGCGCACTGTACTTATTCTTTCTATGTTTTCAGTTAACATCGATTTTTATAGAGCTGTGCAATACGTTTTAACAAATCCTAATTCAATCTTTACGCATACACCTGGTAAAGAGGATTTATTTGGACTCGTAAGTATATCTGTCAATCAGTTCTGTATTTCCAAATGATTTTTGTATTGTTATGAGCTCTTGCATATTTGTGTGCGCTTTATTTTAAATAATAGCCTAACAAAATGTTAAATCAAGGTTCGTTGAAAGCTTTTTACAAAGGCACCGGTGTAATGTTGACTTATTTTTTTTTTCTCTTAATGATGCCAATATTAATTAATTAGTACTTTTACTTTTAGCTTTATTTTTAGTTTTGATTTAAACTTGCGAGTTATTCGTATCTGTTCCCTTAAGCGAACCCATTTATAATCTATAATATGATATACACCATTCCAGTAGTTGGCCCAAACTAAATCCTTCCAGAACTTTCTGGAGGGTCTTCCTGGCATAGCGGCATCGCTATTCCGTCAAACTTTCTGTATAGCGTAGACACAGCGGTTGAAATTCCGTCATTAATCTGCATGTACCTTTGTGCTGTTCTTCTCTATTCTGTGCTATACGTTCTTACAGTTCAAACTGGATCATTTTCAATACTAATTCAGGTGAATATCACAAATAAAGAGGGTAAAAAAAATTCGACAATTACCTGTGATCGAAAGGGGATCACAATTTTTTTTAAAATTGATTTTGAAAATCAAAGAAATTTCAATGATAAACTATTTCTCTTAGATCTAACTGCAAATAAGCTCAAATTACTTTTAACGCAGGCAGGAAGTGAGCCGCGATTGAAAGACTTTACCTCTAAACAGAAAAAGACACCAGTGTTTCATGCTGTGTTTATTCACTATACATTAATAAGTAACGCTGCCATCCCCGAAATTTCTATGTTATATTTACATACATATATTTATATACATATATTTATATACATATATTTACATACCTATAACATTTCTCTTATTAATGAAAATTTATACATTTGAGTAATTTAATGATGAATTACATTTTTTTTTAAATTTAATTATAAAAATAATAATCTAAAAATTTGCTTAAAAAAAAAAAGACTGTGTCCGACTGTATTGACTGGGCTGCCAACCAATCTCTATTCACAAGCGCAATCCCATTACTGCACGATGCGGGAGCTTTTGCCTGCTCCGTTTCCGGCCTGGGCCGGTTCGCTCCGCCTTAGACGACCTGGTAACTCCGGACTCCTCCGTTTCCACCATATCGACATCGTGCTTAACGCGGACGCCTGATCAACATAGAAGAGCGGAGGACAGAACTCCCAACCTCAAGCCGTCCTACAGCCTAGACCTCCAAGCAGCTGGATTACAAGACCACGCCACTAGTCCCGGTCGACAGGTAGAAAACACATGAGCTTTATAAAGTTGTGTTTCTGAATTTCACTCTAGAACATCGCCATCTATCGTCATTTATTGTAGTGATTGTTTCGTTTGTTCTTATTCATTGAAAAATAAAGTGCGTGACTTTTTTTAGCGGCATCAAAATCAGTATATTTATATGTATATGGCAAAAAAACATTTCATTAAGCCAATGTTGTGTGAAAAGGATAATTTAATTATAAACATAGTTACAAAAGGCAAGGAAATAGATTTTTTTATGTTAGATTCTTAGATCAATAATGAAACAACATAAATCAACTGAGTTGGTAAACAATTTTATGTTTATGAAAAATTATCTACTATAACGGAATTTACTGATATTATTATGATTTTTTTTTTCTTTTGCTTTCCCAACAATAACAAAAAAGACTCATATTTTTAGAGGTAAAACCAAACACTTAATATTAGTAATAACGCCAAATTTTTCTAATTCCCTTCATTCTTTCTATTTTTTTTTCTTATTGAAGAGACTGGACGGGTAAATTTGGCTATAAAACAGAAATTAACAATATACCAGTTCAGTGAAACGAATTTTAAAACAAACAAAAGCTTCATATTTTTTTAATCTATATAGGACACAAGTAAATAATTAAATAATATGAAGATAATAAAACTCTTTCCATTTTCAGGAGCTAGGCAACTTCGATTTTTCTCCCGACAAATTTATGACCAATGCTCATTCCAGTAAGTTTCCTATTTTTTAAATTTCCACTTGAAATGCTTGCACAAGTTCAAAATGACAATATTGCTTTTATGAAAAACGTTTTCTTTAGACTTTTTCTTTCTTATAAATGTTAAAGCAGCTAGCCACAAAGGACGGTTAGTTAATAATAAATTAAGATGTCAATAAGACAGCATTTTTGTTGAGAGCAGTTACCCGCTTTACTCATAGAGCTGTAATAGAAGTAGAGCAAGCGAACTGTTATATTTCTCTATTTATCTTTACCCTGAACTTCATAGTCCTTTCTGTCACGTGACACTTCTCCTTCGCCAATTTTGTCGGAGAAAGGTGGACAGTGCCAGAAAAAAAATGAATTCTCTTTTCTGGTGAGAAATGATTTTAGACATGTCAATAGGAGTCGAAAAAAATGTGTATAATAAAGAGCTGGCGAATTTATTGAAGAACAAATAATTAAGTGTAAAACTTCCCACCTAATTTATCAAATAGTGCTGTAATAATCTTTCAGGGCAGCTTTTCCTTCTGAAAAAATGTATTATATAAATTAAACTCGAAGCAAGCTTTTGAAATTACAAAATATTGAATAATTTATTCTTTCAAAAAGCATTATAGAGAGTAAAAAGATACACTGTAAATAAACGAAACAGGAAATAAGAAACAAAAATATCGCCAAAACTTTGCATAGATCTTTTTAGAAGTAAAATTTTAAAAAAATAATAATTATATTATAGATAGAGTAATTCTATATAATCATTTCTTTATGGTTAAATTGTTTTCTCATATATTTACTAATAAATAGTTTAAATGGTGTAAATTTTAATGAATGAATAAAATGCAATAAATGGAGATTAGTGTGATGTTTTATGGAAAAGATGCAAGTACATTAAGCTCATAAGTTCATTTATATAGTAAATAATGTAATTGTAATTCCAGAAAGTGATAAAATTACTTTTCAGTGAAACGTAAACGACTTTCCTTTAACAAATTATTCTTTACATCCAAATGTACTACAGCAAAAGACAACATTTTAAGATTTTTTTTTATCGTTAAAATTCGTACATCGATTTTCTTCCATTGAAATAACAAGGAGAAACGGAAAGTAGAAAATTTCCCCAACGAACCGCTCACTACTCACGTGATTTTATTATTAAGACAAAAATCCTCCTGCAGTGCCGCTCTACATATGGTTATAGCTCTATAATATTATTAGTATGTTGCAAAAATGATTAACCAAAATCGAGAAAATAAATTTAAAGATGTGTTACAATATGAAACTGTTGCATGAACCATACATAGAAAAAATGGTTTCGATATACATAAAAATTTTAAAGAAAAAAATTACCGCTTCGTTCATTCGTACTGGACAAATAAATCACATTATATAACTCAGTTTTACAGTGTTTCTTTTGGTTGCCATCAGCATAAAACTAATAAAAGTTAGAGATATTCAAATCAGAAGCTGGACTAGATCAGTATTGCACTATCATTTAATCGATTTCCGTTTGCACTATTCCTATTAGACGATTCGTATTCCTAACCCAATAGAAACGCGTATTCCTGTTGATTAGATCTGTAATTAATTGATCACCAACTTCTAGTGGACAAGTAAGTGAAATGACACCAGCTTAGACATCTCTATAACAGCATTGTTTATCAGTAAAATATTTATTCTTTTAAAAGCATATGCAATTAAAATAATCATTACAAAATAATTATTTAAAATTGTTGAGAAATATAAGGAATTAATTTCTCGTAGTAAATATTACGATATAATTTCTTTTTGAGCCGTGGTGGCTCAAGGGGTAGACCGTTCGCCTTCGAATGAGGCGAACTGGGTTCGAATCCCAGCAATGGCTGATCAATACGAATATCACACTGGGCTCGCACCGACCACAGTGCTGACTTTAAATATCCTCAGTGGTAGACGGATCATGGGCTAGAATCCCTTTGCCTTCATACTAACCGTGGGAGGTTCTCGTAGTTTTCCTCTCCATGTAACGCAGACGCTGGTTAGTTCAAATAAAAATCACGACCGCATATTTCTCCCTATAGTTATACAGGAGTTCCCTTGTCTTCTGGATTGGGTTCAAAATTACAAAGCTACGGAGTTAAACATTGGTAGTACTAACCCAAAATTTAGTCATTTGTTCAACGACGGTAATAATACATAATTTATTTGTCAAAAAATATTTAACCAGCATTTTATAATAACCAAATATTAAATGGGAATTAAAAGTAGTAAAATTGTAGATGAAGTTGAATGGTAACCGAGCAAAATAATTAGGTTTAAATTTTATTTCACAAGACTAAGAAGTTAAGTACATTTGTGAAACCAAATCTGTGTTACTGAAATAAAATCGTTTTGAATCTTGTAATTGATAACTATTTGACTTGATTTAACAATCTGTGTATCGTCAAAAAACACAGAATGATTGTGTTGCTATAGTGGGGTTCGATAGCGAAAATAACCGGGGCGGGGATCGCCTAATTCTTGTCATTCGATGCATTACAGATTTAAACCACGACATTGCCCTATCTTTTTCTTGCGGAGAGCATTATTGGTGAATTTCTCACAAGGATCATATCTTCACTTTAATAAATTTTGGCACTCTGATAAAATCATAATCGAAGCAAAAATAGAATTCAATCTATTATTTTACCCATATCCTTTAATATTGTATGGAAAAATATAAACATGCATAGAAGTTACAGGCTAATAGCTATTTCTAAGGTTATTTCGAAAAATATATTCTTGGTTCCTCAAAAATCGTCACAATTTTTTATCGAAAACTTTCACATTATGTTAGCATACCGAAAGTCATAGTGCAATACGTCCTGCATTGTTCACTAATTTTAGAAATTTGAAAAATGCCAGAAAATGTTCAGCGACTTTTGTTCACTTAGAGTACTTTGGAATATGATAATACAGCCAATAAAATAGAGGAAAGGATGCATATTGCTAATTTCCAAGGGTCCTCAAGTGTCTAAATCTGCCACTGTTTATGAGTAAATTATTTATTTACTCATCTGATATTCATTTATTTTATAATTCTGTTCAATTTTTTAATTCATTTTTTATGCGTATTTGAAGGAATATAGTACTATAGAATGATAAGCCACATTTTCCAATTGCTCAGAACAATCTTTTTGGGTAGATATTATATTTTTGATACAAATAGTTAAGAAGTACGTAATGACTGTAATGGCATGACAGAGGTTCACATCAAATTTATCTTTTGTATTTTTTCCAGATAGGTTTTTAAAGTTCTTGTAATGTACACTAGATGTTAGTGTAAAAGACAGTATGATCTTATTGGCTCAGTTCCGTCTTTACGCATGGGCACACCCGGGCAGTGCCCAGGGGCCCCAGGCACTCAGGGGGCCCTTAAGAATCTTACTTTTTAAAAAAAAAATTACTAAGAATAAACAACTTTGTATTATATAATTTTTTAAATAAATCCCAAATAGCAAAATATGGTTTATTTTCACTCAGCAAAAACCTTTTAATGTAAACCTAAAAAGGTTGGTTATGCGTCTTACGACGTGTAAATCTTCTAACCTTAAAGCGAGATCTGTGGCAATCTGCTCTATTCTACGCACATTACCCTAGTGCAAAACTTTGGAAAACAACCTTCGATATAAAAACCTTAAATCGAGGTNCACATAAAAACAAATAATACATTAGATTAAAAGTTTAGTGAAGAGTCACACATTGTAGAAAATTCTACTGGATAAAATAAAAGTTCACGTTTGTGCAATACTGGAAATAATAAAGAAAGAGAATCTTACACAGCACTAAAGACTCCCAGTCGGACATTTATTTATTTATTTGATTGTATCATGTGTCAACAACGACATCTAACAGTATCTCCAGGAACTAATTCAATATTAAGTTATAAAATACAGGGTGATTCAGGCAGGATACTTCCCGGAATTAACAATATCACTATTGAATTCCTTGGGGTCGATTTAGTTGTTAGATTTTTTATTTCAAATCGATTATTTGCTCCATTCTCGAAGAAAATGGGTGGCACGCATGCTCTGAATCACCCTGTACATTAAAACAATATTATTACTACATATATCATATATATGTTATTTAATATTATTAATATTTGCGCAATATTACTTGAAATTCATGCAATGTATAAAAAAACAACTGCGCTGCTGGTTCGGCCCACCGGGCATTTGCCCGGTCTGCCTACTGGCCAGTCCGGGCCTGCCCTAGCCGCAATGGCTCAGGGCGTAGAGCGTTTGGCCTCCCATGATATGAACCAGGTTCGAATTCAATGACGGCTGGTCGATACGAATCTGCATCCGGCTTGCACAGACCACTGTGCTGACGTGAAATATCCTCAGTGGCAGGCGGATCATGGGTTAGAGTCCCTTTGCCGTCAGACTAACCGTGGGAGGCACTCGTGGTCTTCATCTCCATGTAATGTAAAAGCGGGTTAGTTCCACTGAAAAAGTACTCCACGAATGCAAAATTTCTCCCGATACTTGATACAAGAACTCCTTTGTTTTCTATATTGAGTTCAAAAGTAAAAGGCTACAGAGTTGAACATTAGAAGTCGTAAACCCAAAAATTGGGTCGGCTGTTCAATGATAATAAAAAATGAAAAACTTGCTTAACCCTTGGCCGGGATAGTCTGCTTGGAAGGGCATTGGGCCCATGTATCGTATGGGTATGTTCGTGGGTTCGATCTCCGCAGGCCGAAAACTCCCCGTGTAGTAAATGGATGCACGTTAAGTCTGTCGAGTCACAAACTCCTCCATGTTCCCATAACAAGTCATACCTCTGGGGGGAACTGATCCAGGAGTTCCCTCGTCTTCTGTATTGGGTTCAAAATTACAAGGCTGCGGAATTTAACATTGGTAAACCCAAAAATTGGATCGGCTGTTCAGCGACGGTTACAAAATAAATGCTTTTTAATTTACTTATTTTAATTAGCTTCTTCGTTTTGAAAATTACTTACTATTTGAGGATTTGTTAGCATTTCATTTTTTTTTTAAGAAAAATTATGCCTAGTTTAAAAATGCTTTATTTCATGTGCATTGAGTTTTTGGGGCTATAAAAATGTGTTTAACTTTGTTAAAATAATTGCATATCTTAAAAATACTTAACTTTCTGCATGTGAAGTTTTTTAGTTCTATTTTAAACAGTATGAAATGTAATAGGGGCCCAAAACATTTCAGTGCCCGGGGGCCCTGCTTGCTATTAAGACGGCCCTGTATTGGCTACCTAAAAATAGGTTTCTGTTTGGTTTTCTGTAAACATCTAGTGGATATTACAATAACTTTAAAAACCTATCTGGAAAAACACCAAAAAAACACTTTAAACCTTTGCCATGCCTTATAGTCACTGCATATTTCCTAACTATTGAATTAAGCTAAATTCTTTACCTTTCTAAATTCTAAACCTTTTGAAATTAAAAATTAACAGTTAACTTTCTATTAGACATGTAGTGGAAGTCTAATTTTATAAACAGATTTTTTTTTAAACTTATTTAACATGAACATAAAAATTCTAGTCCGTTAAAGGATTGTTATAAATTTATAAATCACCATGTTTAATCTTTCGCCAAACAATTTATGAATTAAGAGTATTCTTTTTTATTACACTTGGCTCGATTTATAATAAATCGCCAAATAATAGCTCTTTAATAAAATTTTCATTTAACAGGTTACAGGAAAATCCATTCTAAAATTTAAAAAAAAATAAGTAAAAAGATAATTATTCAAAGTTTAATCAAAGAGAAAAAAATCCGTTCAGTCTACAGATGGGATATACAGGGTGTTTATAAAGTCCCGGACCCATTTTGATGTTTAATAACTCATAAAATGATAAAGATAGATTAAAATTAATAACATAAATGGTTAGATAGACTCAAAAAGTTTCATGACCCTTGACCCGGACGTCCCTGCACAAGTGATTTTGACGTTGAGCGTGTCAGGCAGACATTTTTAGACAATCCTAGAAGATCTGTAAGATCAGCAACAAGAGAATTGGATATGCCAATTTCGACGGGGTACAAGGTTATTAAGAAACAATTAAGACTGCATGCATACAAAGTTCAAATTGTTCAAGGTTTGGAACCGAACGATAGGCCTAGGACAGGGATGGGCAAATTTTTTTGGTCGTGGGCCAAAAATCTAGAAAAAAAAGTTTGGTGAGCCGAGTAAAAACTTCTAAAATAAAAATTCTTTTAAAAATTAAAAATTTTAGTTGCCATTTTGGGATTAAAAATGTTTACAAATAACTCAAAAAGGCAGTAGCCATTTCATACATTTAATAATTTCACCATTATTTACAATGACGTTGCATGTGTGCAGCCTTTCCATACGCAGTAAATTATGTTAGAACTCACGCCGGAAGAAAAATCCGCTCGTTGGAACTTAAAATGCGTAGTAAGCCTCATGTGAAGTACAATTCACCCATATTAGATTCCATATGTCTGCTCCTCGAGAAAGACAAATACTAGTTGGAGCTAATCTACGGCTATTCTATAAGGGACTTTTGCTTTCAACATTTTATCAAGTGAAGCTGTTAATGCTAACTATTTTAATTAATTTATTTTTTGTAGAGCAAAAACAGAGAAAGTAAAAAGTTAAAATTCTGTCCGCGTGCCGGATAAAATCTTCCGTCGGGCCACAGTTGGCCCGCGGGCCGTAGTTTGCCCATCCCTGGTTATTTCATCCTAGGAGGATGGCGTTTGCAACAGATATGGTAGGAAGGATAGAAGATGACGCTGATTTTCTGAAGCGCATAATGTTCTCCGACGAAACATCCTTTCATGTTTCTGGCATTGTTAATAGCCATAATGTGTGCCTATCTGTAGACCCCCACGAATACCGTGAAACACAAAGGGATTCCCCAAAGGTTAATGTGTGGTGTGGACTAATGCACGACCGAGTCATTGTGCATAGGTCCGGGACTTTATATTGTGTTTATCAAAACTTTCATAGAGATGCTTACACAAAATAAAAATAATTTGAACAAAAGATGTGCTCATATGTCCTATCATTGTTGTCCTACATTTCTCTTTACTTGTTCGTTTTCTTTTAAAAGATAGCAGTGGTCTTATGCAAAAACTATTCAAAAAGCACTTCACCGACTTTCGAAAGAATACATTCGAAAAAATTGACAAAGATGGCGAGAGTGATGATTTAGAGTTCTTGAACAGGATAAATCTAAAATTTAAAGAGGCGATGAAGAAAAACTTCAAAGTAAGTACCCAAATTTATATTTTCCAATTTTTTTTAAAAGTAAAAGAAAGGCCTCCTAGACGGCATTACTCAATCAGTCATACTCCAAACCTTATTCTCGTTTGCAAATTGATATAATTTTAAAATTGGCGAACGAACAGGTGGCGTAGAGCAGAACTCTCTACTTATGGCAACACTTCGCAGGCTTTCACCATTAGCGTGTGGAGAGTCATAGAAGAAGGAAGTTCGTTAAGAAAGCGATTAAAGGATTTTCTTATTGTAAATAAATATTTTATTGAATCATATATTGTTCATTCTGATTCAACACTTTTTGCCATCTCAAGCTTCCACGCGCATAAAATTTTTGTTTTTACTGGCAAAAATTAATCAAGGTGAAATTTTGGCCTCTTTATTAGCAGTTAAGATTTTACCATCTAAAGAAATTAGAAGACACTGGAATATATTTGTAGACAACCAATTTCTTGTCCCCAGAGATTACGCGCTTCAAAAATGGATAATTTTATTAACATTTGAGAAGCAAGTAGCAGACGTAAACGAGACTCAAATTTCTTTCGGTTAGAACATAAGGAACCTACATGTTAACCTTTGGGATTAAACTAAACCTTTTCGAAGGATCATGAATGGTCGAATTTTAAAAATTTAATTCTCAGCGATCTCTCGAGTTGTTATTCGCATCAATTAGAGCCTTTATTCAGCTTAGGGCTACTGGGGTGGTGAATTGTAATCGAAATTTAGCAAACCAATTTGGGCACTGGTATACTGCAAATTCTTCTTCCCCATACACAGATTTTTTTTCTTGTTGGAACAGTATTTTACACTTTAGAATAACACCAATCCAAAACTACTTCGTAGGATCAAACTTTTCCACAAGCAAGCATTGCTACATCACACAAGATGTCAAAATATGTAATGATTGTGCTCCTCAAGACATGAAGCCAGTTGCAATACAATGTAATTTAAGTCATCGACGAAAGGATATGAATTATAATATACGATTAGGTGCGAAGTTACTTTCCAAACAACCCAATATGTAGATTAAGGCGAACTGAATTATTCAAGGTTTTTCTTTTCCTTTCTAGTATTGTGAATCCCAAATTAGAATTTCAGGTAACTGATTAAAAAAAAAGGTTGATTTTTAAAAAATATTTTTTATTGCAATATGTATATTTGGTATATTTTATCATACAAAATTGCGAAGACAAAAATCAATTTTTAATTTTTGCCGCTTGCATTGTTTACTACTGATAAGTTCATTAACTGATTTAAAAAAGGATCTCTGTTTGGTTTAGAAAATAAAGGTAAATGTTTATATCTTACAATAAGACCAGAGCATAAAAGCTTAAATTGCCCACGCATATGGCAATCCATAAGCAGTTAAAATCACCATGAATTTTATTTTTTAGGAGTACCGTGATGAAAAAAACATTCAAAGTGATTTTCATGAAAAAGCCTACCACATGGATGCAATCATCCATCAAGTACAAAGGACTGCAAATGAAACAGATGCTAATGACGCTCGTAAGTTTCAGCCATTTTTTTATGTGATTAGTCTATCTCTAGAATTTTGAAAAGAAATCTCACCCCCGCTTTAAAAAAGGGACTAAATACTCAAAAGATTAAGAGCAGGCAAAATATCAAATTAGAATATTCGCACTGCCAGGCATGATAATAAACCAAGGAAAGACTTAATTTTATCATCACTGTAGCTGATAGTTATTTTATTGGTGTAGAGTTCACGCCTTTGCTTTTAAGTTGTAATTAAAGGAGAATCAACAGAAATTGTGTATATTTATATACAATTACAGTTCAACATAGTGTGCAAATCGGGAGATAGTATCATTTCAAGTAAGGATCTCTCGATCAGGATCAAAATTACACAACAGCCTTACAAGATTTTTTAAAATTATTTTCGTGTTTATATTTCTTATGACCGTTATAAATTAATTGCCAAATCTGCGTTTATACATCATAACGTCGATTGAAACCATAACAGAAATGTTTTTCTTCATCATGCAACATATAAATGTTTTAAAGGAGTTGAGAGGATTTTAGAGGGCAAAAACAAAAACAGGAACCTTTCCTCTTTCTTTTTTTTTTAATACAATAACAAATTCAATTTTTTATCATCTAAGAGAGAAAAAAATTTGACAATTTTCATTTAAAAATGTTATAATTGCGAACTGATTTCCGTTCCCAAACAATTTTGTTTGGAAAAAAAAATTTTAAATTTACACCAATAAAATAAGCTGCACTGAAAAAAAAACTTGTTAATTAAATTTTAAAAAATGCAAAATTTCAATAAGATATGTACATTAGTTGGAGAAATCATGCAAACCAACTTTAATAATAGAAGCATATCTTATTATTTTAAAAAAATTATATAGTAAAAAATTATTTAAAAAAAATTTTATATTAAAAAATAAAAATTTCCAAAGGCTCTCTCCTAGAGTTCCAACCCAATAGACTTAAAACTTAAAGAAATATTCTTGACAATAAGTACAATAACTCAAAAATAAAGGCTTTTTGATATTATTGATTTAAGTAATCAAATAAGTAGTAGTTAAAATAAGTAACTAAATAAATCTTCTATGTAAAATGAAATGAAATACATATAAATAAAACTAGGTATCTCAATATAATAAACCAATAAAGGGAATATAATCAGGGCATTATATGATAACTTAGATAGTTGGATAAAAAATCCTTTACTTTTTATATGAATATCTGGATTCCTCTCTAACTAAATGTTATCACATTTAAAAAATATCCAAATTAATCATAATGGCTTAATGAGCACACATAAATACTTTAGCTTTATCTTACAACAGTAGTAAAATATGTTTTAAGAAAACTTTTGCTCTTATCTCCCACTTGATACTTTTAAATAAAATTACTAATAACAGAAGATAAAATGATATACTTTAACTTACAATATTTGCAAATAATTAAATCTGTAAAAATGTTTTCTAACATTTCAGTTGATCTAACATTTCATATTGATCGTGAAAGTAGCTACTGCACAAAAGGCTGTAAAAAGTTTACTCCAAGAAGACTTAATGATAAACATCATGGAAAGGAATAGCTTTGAATTAAAAATGAGCAGTATTGTATTTGAATAGTCAATAAAATTGTATTTTTGTTATTTATAACTTTTGTAAATTTCTTTATGTCCATAAAAACATTACACAGTTCTTAATACATAAAAAAAAAGAAGATGAAATAGACTTTTGATGAAGTCCACATCCATTAAAGTGGTGATGAACTAGACTAACAAATGCAAATAAAAGTTTGGATATATTCAAATAAATTTTAAACAGCAACTATTAAAAACCATGACCTAGGATACCTTAGAATTCTGTATTTTTTCTTTCTATTATTCTTTTTTAAACTACAACACATTACAGGAACGAGATTAGCCAAAACGCAAAAAAGCCGAATTTCCACGATAGTAAATTTTACGCAAGCGCAACCCTTTAATAATAAATTCCAGACAGTTTAAGGTAATAAATAATGTGTTGACATACAATTGTGTACTAATCTATTATTATAAAAACGATTACATTGATACTTAACATTTAGTGAAAAAAAAATTACCAATTGAAAAAATAAAGCTGGAAATTATATTTTTCCTCAGTTCACATAAGAGACAATTATTACTTGAAAAACTACCTGGTTTAGCAAATTAAAACTACTGAGAATATACATTAATATTTCATTTCTTTTAATAAATACTGTTATGTGATTTATAGCAAATATATCAGTAATATTACTTTTTAAATTATATTGGGAAAAAAAACTTTAACAATGGACCGAATCATTATGTTCATATTATAGTCTAATCTAACTAGAGCCCTCTGAAACATATCAATAACAGTGAAGTAGAAATATATAGTAACTCCTTAACATACAAAAATTGCTATTTTAGTTTGAAAAATTACATGACAATCAGCAACTGTTTAGATAATTGTTTTTTATTTGATAAGAATTTTGCATTTTATAGCATAAATAACAGCAATTATAAATAAAATTTTGATGATGAGTTAATTAACTCTTTTTCCCCAAAAATTTTTTTTTAATTAAATCCCTTTTTAAGTGATTGCTTTTGTTTGCTATATCTTTTATGTTTGCTATATTTAGTCGTTAGTCCATCTTCAAACATCTTGTGACAAATCCTATTTTTTCTTCTTTGCAAGCACAGAATGTAAGTTTTGAATATATTCCCTTCCAGTTTCTCTGATGTTGTAACACTTACATATACTAATAATCGTCATTAGAAAAACAGTCACCTTTATAGTAAATAATTTTAAAAAAATTTATTTCCTACAAGAATCGCGATAGTTGATCTTAAAATTGCGTGAATATGAATAACAATTATGGATTTTGAAATCACATGAATATGAAACTAGATGTACGATTATGAAAATGAGAAAATACAAACTGGGATGTAGAATTTTTAAAACGCATAAATACAAATCAAGATTCATAATTTTTAGATAGCGTAAATACGAATCATGATGCGTAACTTTTAGATTGCATAAATAAGAACTATGATGAATAACTTTTAGAATGCGTGAATGCGAATCCCAATGCCTTATTTTAAAAGCACGTATAAATACGAAAATCAATGTTTAATATTATAAACCGCATGAGCAAATCAACAAATTGAATTTTAAACTTGCGTGAATACGAATTGCTACATAGGTTTTTAAAAAAACGTAAATACGAATCACAATATCGGATTTTTAAATCTCGTAAATTAGAATCGAAACGTACAATATTCAAATCGTGTGAATGAGAATCGCAACACGCAAATATGAAAAGCTATGTCTGATATTAAAATCGCGTGAATAAGAATTGAGATATTAGCAGATTCCAGGCTTGGGACCTCTAAAAGGCTTGTCTTAAGCAGCGTCGTTTGAACTACAAAAATCGGATCAATCTATTGGAGGGCAGGTAAAAAATTCGGAAAATCTTATCTACTGCGAGTAAAAGGGGAGAAAATAGCTAATAAAATAAGTAAAAAGGAGAAAGGATTGGTAGCTATGTAGTTTGAATTTTCTGTTTATCTTTGAAAATGAGTGAATTTTCTGAAAAAGCGGAATACTTATAAAAAAAATGAAATTTTTAGAAAATCTGAATTTTTGATAAAAAAAAAGCTGAGATTTAAGAGATAAAAGTGAAAAAAGCGGAAATCCGCTAAAAAGCGTAAAAATCTCATCCCTGACATTATAAAAAATTACAAACCTAAAAACATGGAAACGGGTAAGAAAGTAATTTTTATTAACATTTTACAAAGAAAGGTTTAATACAATTTTGTACAATTTCATGTTTTGCATGAACGAAAACAAGATGCCACAAAAAGAAACAAGATATACAATACTACAATGACACATACACAGCCAGTGCTTGTTAATACTCAACTAAATGATGATTAATTTGATGAACTGATAACTGAACAGTTTATTTTAATGCAAATTAATGAAAGAAAAAAAAAAGAACCATTAAAACAATTTAATAAAAACTATATAATAAGCAGCAATGAATTTTTTCAGATATTTTTTAATAAAAACAACTTTAAGAACTGAGATTATTATTAAATCTAATTATATATTTTTAAAAAAAAATCAAATTTGGAAATGAACAATAATTAAATGGTATTCCAATTATACCAAGAAATAAAGCATAAATAATTTTGACAATGTACCACATAAGCATATAAAAACAGGATGAAAAATTATTTACGTAAGATTACTGTGTTTTCGTAGCTTGTCGTCTTAGAAGGATATATATTTTTTCTTTGATCCAGTCCTTATTGTAGGGAGCATAGGTCATAGTGGACTTCTGAAATCTAAAATGAAAATTCTTATAATAAGTAGTTGAAAATATTTTCTTCCATTTAAAACAATACTATAGACAGAATAATTACAAATATACTTCTTGTTAATGTTAGCCCTCAGCACAATATATTTTCAGTATTTGAGGCTCATTATTCAAAAATGATTGTGCATCCCTGTTTTAAATGTACAATACAGTTTATACTCTTTAGAAAGACCCCATATTACAATGACACTTACATTATGTTTTATTAATCTCCTTCACAATTATCGAACCAAATTGTTCTTTGTATTTATCAACTCTTCTTATCATTTTATAAATTTTAGTTAGTAACTTCTCATACAAAATTAAGAGGAAGAAATGAGTTAAATACATGAAAAAATAAAGCATATAACTAAAAAAACATATTGCTAAATTCAGGGTTCATTCTAGACTAAAAAAAGGGCAGGGTGCTAAAAATTGAAAAGGGCACTATACTTTTAAAAAAAAGGGCAGCAAGTTCAAAAAAGGACATTGTATTTTATAAAAAGGGCAAATATCTTACCCTTCTTTGCATAGTTAAAATGAATAATTGTATATAAGTTTATTTTTATCACTAATCACAATTATAATTATCAAATGTATAACTACAATTTTCCAAGGAAAAAAGGCTACAGTTTGAATTGAAAAATTTAAAAAAAAATTCAAACGAGGTTTTTTTCCTTTATCTCAATATTTCTTAGTTCACTAAAAATATATTTAAAATTTTACACATACCTTTGAAAGACCTGGGGAAACAACTGAAATTTTTCAGATATGTTTTTCTTTCTCGAGTTGATGATTAGAATAACTATTTTCAGATAAAATATGAATATTAATCTTGAAAATAAACTTATTATGTATCTGGCTCTCCCTTATAAAAAAATAAAATAAACTGCGTTTTTAAGCTTAACTGTTGAAAACGAAGTTCTGAAGTATATACATAAAAAACAATATTTACAAAAAAAATTGCAAAATAAAATTCATACTTCCAGTCATTTTAAATAAAAAATACTGGAAGTTTTATACTTGAATTCAGTCGCAGCAATAATATCAAACTTACA